CCCACCCCCACCCCACCCTCGCATTGGGAACATGAACATTTCAGAGTGCCAACATATTTTGGTCTATTGGGAAAATGGACAGATATGAGTTGGAGATTGTTTGATCTACAATCAAATGCAGAAAAACTGCAAGCTTGAATTCAGTTAACCAAAGGAAAGGAGATTTGCATGTACCATTTTTCCCTTGTGCCACGTAGTTCTTTGACAAAATCAGTGTGGTTTTGCCTGACAGTACTTGGAAATTCCTGGACACTCAAGAACCAACCAGCTGTGTCACTGCAATGCCATGTGCTATGTGGAGAGACAGAGAAGTGTTCGCACAGGCACTCATTCTTAAGGTGTCAGTTTTAATAAAATTGGACAGTGAAGTTCTTGTTCCATGCTTGTTGTATAAATGCCTTTCATTTTAGCATGCTGTAGAGGTGAGAGAAGTTAAAATATTGTACGCTTAATTATTATTTCAGATTTCTCAAATGAGTAAAATTATTTTTGTATTTATTAAAAATACTTCTGCAGTGTTTATATGCTTGGAAGAATGAATTAGACTCTGGTCTCGTGTATCCGCTACAAATCTACTAAATGCCATCTGCAGAAACTGTTTTCTAGCCAACAGAGCAGTGAGGTTCTGAAAGCTTCTTCATAAAAATAATAAAAGGAGATATGCAATTGAGATAGATATTGATCAGTATATGAAAGAACTTTTAATCGCCTGTGACTGTGAAAGGCTTTATTTGATTGCCTTTGTGGTCCCTTTTAGTCTTATGCTTCTAATCTTTAAATGCCAGTTATGCTTTTTTAGCCATAAAGGCATCAGCTTGCCTGTCAGGTTCCCAGACTGAATGTGCGGTATCAGGAACTAGACCATCTATAACGTGCAGTGTATTTAACAAGGCGGCCATTGACAACAAATCCCATTTTTAACAAATGTAGATAGCTTGTTATTGAGACGTTTAGGTTATACTAGCATTAAAGAAAGCCCTCTAACACTGTGGAAGATGCTTCATTAAAGTTCTTGACATGGAAGTCTTATTAAGAAAGTCCAGGAGTTTCTGCATTGCTAAAAATTTGAAATGTACTAAACCCACTTTGATCTTGGGAGGAGGTCTAGTGAAATATTTGGATTCTCTCCATCCATGCTTGGGCTTTTCTCTGAGTTTTCCAAAAGTGATGCTATTTAAGGCAGTTCAAGTGAAGGCTTATTCACCAGGAGTGTTTGGGGCTGTAGTAACTGTTTTTCATAAAGCCACAGAACTGTCACTAGATGGCAGTAAACCTTTGATCACCAGCATAGACTGGAAAGTGTATCATTAACTCTCCCTGCATTAAGTAGAACCCCTTACAGGTTATGTTGAAAGCACCATATTTATTACTTTGAATCTTCTTACAATGTCTTCTTTCTGGACCTAGACACTTAGGATCTGCTCTAAAGCCCCCTGAAATTGGTGAGAATCTAATAATTTTCATGGATTTGTATCTGGTCATTTACATGGAAAGCAATAGATAAAGTGGGTGTAAGTACTAGTTCAGAGCATAAGAAGAATGTGTTGTGTGTTTTCATTTTATTTTTTTCCACTATCCTTATGCTTTTCCTTATCACTAGTGGAGTTTTGGCAGAAGTGATTTTACCACAACCTTCTAAAAAGTAGGTTAGAGAAAAATGCATCTTTGCACTGCTACAGTTGTAATCATTGAATGTATTTTTCTTCTTTCTCCACTTATTTTCTGAGTGATATCAGCCAAATTGAGGTTAAATAGCACAGAAATTTAAAACAAGCAAACAAACAAAAAAACCCTACCAAACCCAAAAACCATAATGAAAAATTCAGAAAGCAACAATACCACTGGAAGAATCAAACTGTTTCTTAGATGTTAGGAGAGAAATTAATATACTAACCTTTCTAAAAGAATAGAAGTGTAATGCTATTGCTTGATGCCCAACTTGAAATATGTTTAAAAAAAAGCCAGGTCACATTAGTGCTTATGGACGTACTGGATATATTATTAGTTGTGTGTGTATGTGCAAATAATAAAGGCAGAACAATACATGATATCCCCAAAAGTTGGAAACGGGGGCTGTTTAGATGCTAGCTCATGCACATATCTTCTTGTCCTGTATGACAAGATCATTATTGTTTTCCCACCTATAGATACTTCAGTCACCTCCTGGATAATACATGCTGTTTGAGAAGGGGCCATGTTCTGTTGTCTTAAAATACTGATCTTTCTGAAAGTCATGAAAAATGTTTGTCATCAGGATTTCAGTTCTAGAAGAGAAACTGAAAAATGCTTTCTTCAGAGAGATAACACACTCACCCTAACAAAGCATTTAACTTTGTGGAATAAACAACAGGATCCTATGCACTTGTCTTCAAAGTATTCTTAATTCTTTAAATTATTACAGCTTTTCTGAAATACTGCTGTTACTTGGGTTAGCTTTAGTAGTTTCTATGTTAAGACATTCGATATGTTTGTAGAATTGCTGTTCAGTTTCTGGAAACTGTCAAGCCAACCTTAATGTTTATTATGCATTTTATTGTATTTTTCCAGAGCTGCAATGAATAACATTCAACAATTGATTATGATTTTAAACTCAGCAACTGATAAACCATCAGATACTCTCAACATATATTTCAATGTAAGTGACTAGAAGGAAGATTTGTGAAGGATTCTTGGAATTATCACTCAAGTAAAATATACACCTATAGATCTGATGCACGCATTTTGGGCAACTCCGTTATTAACAACCGTTTTTTGAAGAAGTACATTTTAATTGGGATGGTTTAAATGTAATTACTCATTTTTAGAAAGCACTTCTAACTAATGTGTACTGGAACCTTATAAGTTCTTAAATCTTTTTGTTACTGAACTAAATATTAAGATTTTTTTATGTACGTATAAGATGGAAAAAGAAGGGGATATAAAAGGGAGACAAAGAAGAGAAGGAGAATGTACTCAGAAGATCTCATGTCCGCATTCAGCAACTTAAGCATATTTCTAACTTTAAAGACATTAACGTTGGTGGTACTACTTGCATATTAGTTGGGTTAGTTGCAGCTAGTTGCATGTGAGACATGAAGTTGTAGTTACTGGACATTGTTGAAAGTATACAATGATTCTGTCTTTTTTTAAATATTCCACTTTTATTTATGCTGATGAGCTGATTGAGAGATGTTACAAAGTGAAGCAGGACTCACGTGATAAAATCATTAAAATGTTTTTGAAGTAAAATGTCCTTTCTTTGCCTTTCCTTCCCCTGCCCTTCTTCCTGTACTTTTAGAATTGCACAGTGAACCCTAAGGATACTATCCTGAAAAGAGTGGAAAGTCTTGGCCACATCTTCAAAAATAAGTTTGCTGAAGCAGTTGGACAGGGATGTGCTGAAATTGGCTCACAGGTAACTAGCATTTTGGTTGAGTATTACTCATTTGAACTCTGTTGGTACTAGCTAATGTGAGACCTGACTTACTGACTGTCCTCCTTCAGTGCAGATCAATAATGGTAAAAAGTAACAATATTCTCTTCAACTTGAGGAACGGACAGGTATTTTTTTCTAAAGCGCTGTAAAGATAGTATTCAACAAATTATTCTTAATGTATAAGGAGCAATAGGAAATTTGGGTGGAAATATGTTGGGAATACTTTAATGAAGTATGGGAAAATTGCTGGGCAAAATACATTTAGTGAAATGTGTATTTGCATTCATTAAGGTAACAGCCTAGAACTGCAAAAGGTGACTCACTTCCTTATAAAATCAGTAGGCCAGCTGTGCGTTCAACAAGGATTTTGGAAAACAAATCCAACGAAATTTGTACTCGACAGTCTCCTGTCTGTCAGCCCTGCTTTTTATCCTGTTAGCTGTGAATCAACAGAAACACTTGATTAAGTCTTCATGTGGTTGGGGTAGTCACAAACCTTAGTAGCCTTTGAGGCCTCTCCAGCACTATTGGCAAATGGAACTGGGGACAATGACTTCTTTATAGTGGCTCTTACAAAAAATGGAAATGTTCTGAGTTGTTAAAACACGAGAGTCTGCCTGTTGTAGTCTGTTAAAACTTCTTTTAATATTCTTGAATTTCTTCTTTTTTAACAGAGATACAAGCTTGGAGTACGTCTGTATTTCAGAGTAATGGAGTCTATGCTAAAGTCGGTAAGTTTAGTACTGGTAGCTTAATACTGGCGTTGCATTTACAAATACTAAGAATATTCACACGTTTGGTTTGATTTATATATTTCAGGAGGAGGAGCGCCTCTCAGTACAGAATTTCAGGTATCTGCCCCTAACTTGTTATTGCAATCTGCTATTTTAGTGTTAGGACAAGTATTGATAACTTTCTTTCTCCTTAGCAAACTTCTGAATGATAACGTCTTCCACACATCTCTTCTGGCGTGTGCTGTTGAGGTTGTCATGGCTACATATGGCAGTAAGTTGAATCTAAAGTCCTAAATAGCGTTGTTATTTATTGATAATTACTGCCATTTGTTCTAATATGTGAAATATAGTAAATGGCAAAAAAAAAGTGCTCACTGAAATTTCTGAACTAGCAGTGATTCAATAAATACAAAAAGGAAAAAACATCAGAAGTGAAAGAATGTAGTACTCCTGATAATTTTACTCCATTTTCCCTGCAGGAAATGCTTCACAAAGTGATGGTACCAGTGCTGAAACAGACTTGTCTTTCCCATGGATTCTCAATGTATTTGATTTAAAAGCTTTTGACTTCTACAAGGTGATTGAAAGCTTTATTAAAGCGGAACCAAGCCTAACAAGGGAAATGATAAAGCATCTAGAACGCTGTGAACATCGAATTATGGAGTCTCTTGCTTGGCAATCTGTAAGTAATGCTTTAAAGTAGTATTTGTCCTTGTATAACGTGCATATCTAGAAAAAGGAAATCACACTGAACTCAATAAAACAAGTTGTGGTCTTGCTGAGATTTATTTCTAGCAAAATAAATTACAAGAGCAAAACAAGATTAGTTTTGGCATGTGTTCAGGTTTTGAAAAAAAGAAGTATATCAGAGGAAGAAGTTGACATAGCTCTACTGATTTATGTAATTGTAAGCCAACATCACCTTACTAGTCTGGCATGAATCTTAAGGGTAATACCCTTAAACGGTATTTTGGTGCCAAAGACAAAGCAATAAATTCTGTGCTTTTATTTGTAAGTTAATTTTTATCCAGTTGCTCTTCCCAGTTGGCAATAGGGCCTTAGTTCTGTGCATCTGGTATGTTTGTTAATAGTCCTTAAAATATTGATTCGCATTGTCCTTTGCACTTCAGTCACTTTAGTATTTTTGGATGCCATTAAAATAAAATGCGGGGAGGTTGGGTTGTTTTTTTAGGCTGGATCTCAGCAAATCAAACATTGTTTCTTTATATTGTATGTTACTTATAAACCAAAAATATGCTATTAATGCCACAAAAGAGGGGACTATAAAGACTGCTAATTTTGACCAGAGAGACAAAAAGCGACAAAAAGAACCCGTCCCGTATCCTATGGTTCTGGGAAGTTCGAAAAAAAACAGAATGCCATAGCTAATGGGATAGTTTAATTGTGAAGCAAGTTTTCTTTTCAGAGTAATTTGCATTTGGTTTGCTTATGACTTCAGAGTGAAAAGTCAACAGTTTTCTAGTACGGGTGATGCTTTACCAGGCTGTGGGGTTATACACCTGGATTCGGGGAACACTGTTGTGCCTGAGCAGCGGGAGCCCCATCCATGTTCAGGTTTCTAGCTCAGGAGAAGCATGCTGGCCGCAGGGGTGTATGGAAGCAATTGCCGTGCTTCAGACTGAATCTGGTGGACCGCCTTGTGCCAACCGGCTCTTGCCACTTAATTTCCTTTGCCGACACAGGCAATGGGTACACGTCAGGCAGTTCCCTGAATATGCCCTGTTATGAAGGTGACCTTTCCGTTGGGGGAGCCAAGACTTGTGTATCCAGCTCTATGCTCATCACCACGGCCCTCTACGTGCCCCAAGATTTCTGCTGTACCAGAGTGTAAATTTTTCTATCTGTAATGCTTTTGCATGTTTGTTTGGTGTCTTGGGAAATGCACATCCTCTCCATTGCTGTATGAATTTCTTCGTGTTTTTGCCCTTCTTTGAATAAGACTGCTTGAAAGCACTTGAGGCTAGGAGCCTTTTACCAGAGCCTACAGAAACAGGGAAAATGAGGCAGTCTTGCAAGAGGCAGGCAGTATTTTAAGAAGCTTGCAGGCATATAAAAAGTGCTTATTTGAGAATTGTAACATTCAGAGGACAAAAGGCAGAGGTACAGATACCAAGTTTGACTCTTTACAGGCAAAAAGTGGTTCCTGCTGCCTTCTGCAAACCAGTTTGAAGTCAGCTTACTGATCAGCAATAAGCCATATCTACCAGTTTCTAAACAGTAATTCAAGCACCACATGCAGATAATCTTGATTTGGACTTGGGCCTTCAAATGGGAAAATCCAAAGCATTGTGTTTTCAAAAATCACAGGTATAACTGCAGGCTTTTGTGAAATAAATTATAACGTCAACAACAATCATAGGATTATTTCAAGTTTTCCGAGTGCTCTGTTTGAATGTATTTTAATGTATTGAATCTATCTTCTTGAGTTGCCAGAGGTATATGTTTGGTACTGTTTTGGGGTGGCTAAACAGCTGATTTGAGTGTTACTAGAATAGTTCAGTTGGAAGGGACTCAAAACGATCGTCTAGTGCCAGAAAGATATGTGGAGTGGAGCACAGTGGAGGGGATAAAAAGAAATGTGCAGTACACGTATCTAGGGGCCCTTCTGCTTCATTGACCTGTGTGTCCTGTCTCACCTGGATCTCCCCAAGCACAGGACAGGCTGCAGTCTCCCGTTGCCGGAGGTTTGTCACTAGAGGGCATGGCAGGGTTCCCTCAAAAGCAGAGGGAAGCTCTGGCAGCCAGCTGCGGGCAGCTGGAGCCGGTGTGCAAGGGCCCTGTGATTCTGCACTGGCCTCCATTGCCTCCTCCAGCTGCCCGTAAGGGAAAGGCTGTGAGTTCTAAGCAGCAGGCTGCATAGTGGGGGCTCAGGAGACGAGAAGACGTTATCTATGCTAAAATGTCTTGCTGAGTCTCTGGGTTACTGTGGTGAAGGACCTGAGGCCCGTACATTGTAAGGCTGCACATGGAAACATAAAGCCATGAGTCCTCTAGTGCAGAAGATCCACCCATTCCTCACATCTAAATTTTGGCTGGTTTAGTCTGAAAAGTGTAACGTGTTAGCAACAGGAGAAAATGCTTCTGTGGCTGTTAAGGTCAGGTGTCCCAGAAAGGTTCAGCTAGTAAACGAAGGAGTGGTTTACCATATTCCTCTGCAGTTCCTTAACTGGATATTGTCTCACTACCTGGATATTGTCAGCGTGTAATGGTGTACAAGATTTACAAAGTGTCTGCTTAATTAGCAATTACCTCAAGAAAGGGTAGGTAATTGGAAAAGTGTAGTTCATACCAGTAAATGTCTCTTACCTCCAAGCACTCTACAAAGGAGGAGAGAAAAGCCAGATGACTATTGCTTAGTCATAAAGAATATCTCTCCATAAGTGATTGCTTTGGGTTAATTTTAAACAAATTACCTGATAATCCAAAAAACTGTGGAATCTCAAGAAGATTCAAGTTTCCTAATATGGTTAGAGAATGTTGGGGTTTGGGTGGTTATTTTTTTCCCCCCGAAAAATGTTAAAATGAAGAAAAATGAAGAAAAGCATGGAATGAGTAAAGCTTATGCAAAAAATTCTAGCTTGGTAAATAAGAATAGAAACATTTGTAATACATATATTTACAAATAGTTGCATAATCCAACTCTGATTCCCTCAATTATTTGCCATATATTTTTGTTTAGTTCTTACCTTCCCCCACAGGTAGTACATTTCATTACAAGGCTTGTCTGCTCTTTGGAAAGTCAGGTCTGTATTAATCCAGTCTTTCCTCATTCTTCTGACTGCTTTAGGAAGCAGGACTTCAATATGAGATTTAAAGGGACTGAGCAGTTGAATACAGAATAGCTTGAATTTATTGTAGTTTTACTTGTCACAGAGCTTTTGTGAGGAAAAACGCCTTGTGTAATTTCTCTGAAGAAAAAAATCTTAAGTGCATCTGACCTTTATCTGACTTTGGAAGCTGTATCGAATGAATGTGAAGGATTCTGTTTCTTACTGGTATTTGAAGATAATATATCACTCCTTTGCTAGTCATTGTGAATATGTTTATTGCTTTTGCATAGCTAGCTGATTTAGTCATCTGTACTTTAGGAAGGAGATGAAACTTTTCTAGGTCATCCTTTTTTTTAACAAAAAAAGCATAGCCAGACAAAATAAAGGATGGAAAAAAGTTGGTTTCTTCTCAATAATTCTTAATTTTGAAAAGGGGCAAGTGTCCATACTGACTAAATCATGTGGAAAATACTTCCTTTTCCTTAAATCTTTATTGAACCCTGAAGGAAGAAGCCCCTTTTATCCACTTAAATATTATCTACCAGTGAGGTTGTGATGCTTCCAGGTGCAGATTGTATGGAGGTCAGTTTAGAATATGGTAATAATGCTGCATAATTTTTATTGGCAAAATAGAAATATACCATACAATAGTCTTTCTTTACTGTAGAACGTTTGTGCTTCATCTCACTGCAGTATTTTGGGTACTATTTTAATTTTGTAACTTTACATAAAGGGAACTGAAATTACTTTAGACTCAAAAATAAAGGTGCCTATAGCCTTTGATTAATTTTTTTCATATTTATATAAATATGATTTAAACCCTGGCATAGTTAAAATCTGTTTCCTGTGAAGTGGGGATAGTTTGTTACCTGCCAGCCTGGGGGTTCATGCTCAGCCCTTTTCATAATTCTGTCAAATTGATCTCTCTTGTGGCCAGTGAAAAAAGTAACTGTTTTGAATATCTCAGATTAAGGTTGTGTGAACAAATTCCAGAATATCTGAATTTCCCTTAGAGAAAGCCCTGTCAGCTGCCATGTCACATATTTGACTCAAGTGTCACTGCTTGCTACAGTGCATTAGGAAGAAGCAGGGAAGAGCAGGTTTTCGGTGCAAGTAAATCAAATACAAAGTCTATCAATTTTCATGTTCAATTTTAAGAGCGAGACATCTATAATATCTGAAATGCATTTGTTTCTGGGAACAGCATGACTTGGGTTTGGGTTTGGTGGGGTGTGTGGGTTTTTGGTTTTGGTTTTGGGGTTTTTTTTGTGTCATTCGAGAAATTAAACACCTATGGAGTATCCATCTTTGTAACCTGTACCTGCAAACCAATCCAGTTGTATTTCCCTGCCTCTCAGCTTGCACTCTGCTCATAAGCTGTGAACAGGGAGGAACAGGCTGGTATTAGATTTCTTTCATACTGCTGCTTAAGGAATGCGCTTCCTGCAAATGCTTTTTCACATGTACACTAGGTGAAGAGTGTGGAACGTACACATGTTCTAAATCATCACATTTTCGTACTTAAAATAGTTTGGGCCGCGCTACAAAATACTTTTTCTGCAAACCAGCCTTTGGTGGGCCAGAGATGAGATCTGTGAATCTGCCTTCTGCTCTGTCAAGCTTCAGCTGTCCTGTACTGGGGTAGTGAAAGGGTCTTGTTCTTCTGCACTGGAGTTGCAGACCAACTGCAACCTTGTCCAAAGATAAGGTAATTCATGCCGGCCCAGTCAGGCGGGCTAGAGAAGAAGCATGGCCACACTTTCCTAGTTAGCTCTAGAGGTGGCAAAATGTTCTGTTAACTTGTTAACTCATCCACATGAGCACTAGGAGTCCAAAGGGTATTCCTTGCAGGTCTGCAGTTTTAAAAGGTTGCCTGGTAGCTTTTGCTGTTAACAGGGGTGAGAGGCAGCTGCGTCACCTTCTACAACCCCAGAACAGAATGGGAAGGTGCAGGCTAAAGGGAGTTCATTCGCAGTCTGATTTGGTTTGCTGGCTTCAACTGGTTTTTTGGTGTTTGTCTATGTGTGAGGGGCAAACAGATGTTGAACCAAAGCAGTGCATTGCACTACAGCTGTTGACACTGTAGCCTTCTTTGGCTGTATTGCTTTTTACCATTTGCTATTCTAATTGGTGTTTGTATTTTTCAAAGGAAGAAGGAACACCAGTATTGATACGTGTTGTTATTCAGAGTTTTAATGCAGTTTAGAGTTTTAATGACTGATTCAAGATAAAGATGGCTCTACAAGGTTACTTCTCTTAATGGTTAAAATATGATCAGAAGTAGGCAAGTGTACATGGCTGTGTCTATAACCCCTTCCATGTAGCATTGCCTAAACTGTGCTCTGTAATGCTGCTTCTTTATCAGCTCCTTCTTCTCTGTGGTTTCTATTGTCAATTAAACATCTGCAATGAAATCTACAGTACTGTTTTATCATATATCGCTGATTTAACATAACTCCATGTTTGCAGTAGGTATTTGTCAACTATCTATGTAGTTAATGTTTATACTCAGATACCTCATCCCACACCAAAGACTTCTGTTGGTTTTAAATTATGCAATTCATTGGGGCAGAAATGCCTTCCTGAGGAAAACCCTGTGTTCCCAAAGAATATATTTTATTGCATTAATATGACAAACTCACTGAGCTGGAATAACAGCAGACCTACTTTGATCATGCAGTAAGAAGAAAAATATTAAATAGGTATGTTTAAGATTTGCTTAAAATGTGTTAGACAAATCTAGGTCAGGGTAAAGCTGTAAGAAGTTACAGGTAAGCAAGTACTCCTTAGCGTTTGGTATAGTGCTAGCTTAACTATGCAGCCTCCTAGTCTTTGATTGTACGAGGACAGAGTTACTGTGGAGCTCACTGTACTTGAGTGCTTAGTGCCTGTTTCCCTGGATGCATGTACAATTTAAAATAAGGTTTCTGTGCTCCTTGTAAGGAGGAATTGAGCATC